ATATTTCATATTTTAAAATATTTTAACATTTATTATAAAGAAAATACTAATATTATAGCTTTATAATTTAATTTGATAAATTTTAATTTTATTAATATAAAACAGACACTATAAAAAAATCTTTTTATATATATATATTTAAAAATAATATATATTTAAAAAGATTTTTTTAAATTTTTAAATCTTCACAAAAAAGAAAAAATTAAAAAAAGCTTAAATTATATTAAAATAATAATTATAAAGAATAGATAAATTACAAATAAAAAATGGAATGTATATGAAGTTTCATCGCAAAAACAGCAATCACAAAGATAGGGTCGTCGATCTGCGGTTCACTGTCTTCCGGAAAGTCGACAGTTCGATGTATGCTTATTCCCCACTTTTTCCTCTTTCTACATCCTCTATCGTTCACGACTGCGACCCCCTTATTAAAACGGCGCACGCGCGATATTCTGTAAAATTATACAGGGCCGTATGAATTTAAAGATACCTATTATATCTGTTATATTTATCGTAAAAATTTTTATTTATTATATGATATTTATTATTACTAGTAGTATACAATATACAAATTAATATTAATAGCTTAAATAATTTTTATAATAAATACAATTAATATAAACAATTATAAATATAAAAAATAAATAAATTTTATAATGTTTCTCCACCAATATTACATTCTATACACAATCCTGATTCTATGGTGGAATCAGATTTTGCGCATGCGTCAAAAGTCCTGAGGGATCCTTAACACAAACTGAGAAGAACAAGCGAGTCAAGTCAGTTGCTGGCTGAGTATCTTTGTTGCGGTGAACATAATTCGTCGGTCGTGACCGATACTTCTCTTGCGTACTTTCTTCTGTCTGTTTTTAGTGTATTTTTACGACAAGTACGTATAATCTGTCTTCCTTTTGATTCTGTAAGTATATAAATTTATTTGGTACAAAGATCATGTTTTATTTATAATTTTTATCATATTTTGTTTTTTTATACATATATATATACATATATATATATATATATTATATTTAATAAATTACAAATTTAAATTACTAAATGTACAAAAATATATTATTTATTTATTATTTATTAATTATTGAATAAATAAAATTAGTTTAAATAACAGTTATAAGTTAAACTTTAATTATAACATTTATTGTTTTTTTTAAATATTCACTTGAAATTTTTTAAATATCTTTTGATATTTAAACAAAATATCTAATTTTTTGTAATATATATTCTATTTTATTGAATAATTTTATATTATATGATTTAGTTTTTTATTATTATATTATTGCCATATTATCTGTTGCTTGTTTCTAATTTAATTTTTAATGTTTATTATTTAATATTATTAGTCATTTTTCTTTATTTTCTTTTTTTAGAATCAAAATATAGTTTTGTTAAACTGGGTGGATGGAACGCCAGTCATTGTCCCGGCTTTCGTATCGTGTTATTGATTTTGCATTATGATTTAATTAACTGATTTTTGAATTTAGTAATTTTATAATTTTTAATTTTATAATTTCAGTTTTCGTTTTCTAATAAATTTTTTTAAATGAAAATTTAATTTTAAATATAATATTATATATATTTATTTAAATTTAATTGTGTTATAAAATAGTGTATAGTAAATGTAAAAAATTTATAAAAAATTAATATTATAAAATTCGTATTTTGTTAATTTAATTTATAATCAGATATTGAATAATTTTAAAATTTATTTATTTTAAATAAATGTTTATTGAAATAATAAATTGACAATAAAATGATAATAAATAATGAAGAAAACAATCAACCTTCAATATATATATATTATACCTATATATTATTCTTTCATTTATTTCAAATACATGTTTAATTACATTTTTTAACTTAAAATATTTATATACCAGAACAATAATTTTTAACAGTTGTCATAATAAATAATGGATTAGACTTTATAAATTTTATATTATATTATATTTTTTTCTATAATTGGAAAAAATAATAAATAATAAAAATTAATAGTAGTTCTTTGATAAAAATTGATATTAAGACGAAATAGTCTTGTTAACATTTTCTTAGTGAAGTTGGCCCCACCCAGGCGGAAACACGTACAAATGAGTCATGAAGTTGAGGGTTGAAAATAAAATATACTTGGGAGACGAAAAAATTTTAAGACTGAAGAATGTTCTAAATTAGGAACTGCATTTTATAAAATATCTTTCTGGAGAGATCAAACTCATATGTTTGTCTAAGAAAACTTCAACGCTGAGAGAAAAATAGGATGTTATTTTTCTATTATAATGCTATTTTTACTATTAATTTACAATTTATTAAATATTTAAATTATTTATTATATTATATAATAATAATATATTATAATTATTATATATTATATATTATATAATATATAATATAATTATATATTATAATTATTTACTTATTAAAATTAATTATTATCAAATAATTATTTTTCTAATT